TCCGGGATGGGCCTCGCGGAGGCGGCTTACTCGGGATGTTCAGGTGGAGGAGGTATAGGCTTGTGTGATTTCTGATCTTTTTTTTTTTATTGGCCTTATGATCTTGCATATTAGCCACCATTTCTGATCTATTGCTGTATTATGTTGCCCATCCTTTCTGTCTCATAACGCTTTTCCACATCTTTTGTGTTGCGTTAAGTCCCGCCCGAATGGTGATCGCTGCTCTTAAGGCGTCCACGGTCGCCGTCTGCTCATTTATCTCAAAGAGCCAGCGTATACGGGGAACGACGTGGATTTCACAACTGAGCAGGACGTGTTCCGCCGTTTCTTCTTCGCCACAGTCGCACATCGGGCTAGGTTTGAGTCTGAATGAATGGAGCTCCGCGGCGAAGTCTCCATGTCCTGTGAGGAGCTGAGACATGTAATGATCGATGGCGAGATGTTTCATCTTTAGTCTATTTTTGGGAGGAGCTGGTAAGTGTGGAGTCCCTTGGATGTATCATCCCATCTTAACTGCCATTCTCTTACCGACCATTCCTCTGCCTCTTCCTTGCTTGTAACTGGGATGCACGGTGTGCGTCCATTCTTCAGTTCCCATTTGGCACAAAGCGCTTTCGCTTTTAGGTCGATGGGCGGCCTGCCAGCGACGACTTGTAGGGCCGCCGTGGAGACCGTCCTATATGCCTGTGTGACCGCGAGCAGTTCTACGCGCTGAGCACGTTCGAGCACCGCCCAATCGTTTGCCCGCAATTCACGAGTCCATGCCGGCGCCACGTAGAGTATTACTGACTCGCACAGCGCCGTGTAATAGACTTGTCTAGTTTTGTAGGAGATTCCCCAAGTGTTAGAGTTTATGCCAAATCTTAGGCCAGGTGTCATTTTCACTCCAAGATAAGTTAGGGACGGGGGGCTCTTTATGGTCTCACCACCTATTCGAATTACTGGCGGTGACCGAACATTGAGCTTGCCTTTGAATAAAATTAGTAATGTTTTATCAGGGGCCAGTTGTAATTTTGTTCTATGGCACCAGCTTTCAAGGGTGGTTACGGCGAGTGCACCCTTTTGCTCGATTTGTGCCTTCGTGTCTGCTTCAATAATAACGGCCAAGTCGTCGACGTAAGCAACGGGTAGTAAGTGAATAAAAGTGAATTTATACAATGCAAAATATATTTTTTTTAATATATATTCAATCCTTTTCCACATCCAAAATGTAATTGTAATATGTAAACAATGTTTGTAAATCCCAGGCCCTGAAGATGATCTCAATAAAGATAGAAACGTTGGCACGATAAAGAAAATGTTTTTCTGAAACCTACATCACACCAGACCGCATCTCACGATTTCTAAATAAATAATTATTTAAAAATGTTCCACCACCAATGTCGCAAGACACTTTTAACTCTCTAGATTATCAGCAGGTTAGGTTTTTCGTTCCAATTACTTGTTCATATTATCAAGTGCTACTACGATATGAGCCACTTACATTACATTGCTTTATTTTCTAGTTTTTTTTTTTTATTTTTACAAATTACTAGTATTTTTCGAAATTATATTTTATTTATTAATTTCAGCTTAACTCCAAAGTTTTTTATATTTTTGGAAAAGATCTTTTTACGATTATACGGGCGGTTAATGGCTGGCTGGATCGTTCTTTAAACGCTTACACAACTCTCTTTCCATTTTATCTTTGCTTACTCCGCTGCAGATAAAATACCAAGCCTCGGTAGTTCATAGTTTAAAAAAATTAAATAAAAATGTAATTTCATTTCTGACCCGGGAGAAAAGGGTCTGGGCCACGACCAGTTATTGATACAAACAAGCTCATAGATAGAAAGCTCAGCTCCCACGGAATATGGAGCTTTTGTTCGGGATGGCGTTCTGCCAGCGGCTCCCACCATATCTGGCGCTGCAATTATTGTTTTGTGGGACCAGCCACTTTTATATTCTCCACGGACTGTTTCCTGCGAGGAGCCTTCAATGTTTTCATGGAACGTACGATCGAAAATACACCGACGATAAAACATTTCCGATATGCAAAACCATAAAAATAAACGTTTAATATAAATTAAACGAAAAAAAATTAAGAAGTAATAACGATTTAACGAATAATCCAGCGGTTTTATAGCATTATAATTAGAACAAATCATCACTACAAATTTCTGTCCAATTTACATTCATTTATCTTTTTTTCTGCTTGCAGAATCGTAAAAATTCATTTAGATGGATATTTATTACAGTCGTAAATCTGTAACTTGATAATTCCCTCATCTAATAAATTCCTTAGAAGTCTGATTGGAAGATGGTGAAAATGCCGAAAGCATCGGACAGACAAACCAGCGAGTATAAACGGACCATATGAAGGTTAAGGTAGGCCGTCCACTGGAGCCGTTTTCGGCCGAATAGGGCCGGATGATCCAAAAGCGAAGAAACGAATGAGCACGCGTCCATTAGAACCAATTCGTTTGGTCGTGTTGGGCCGAAGCACTTTCCGATCCAAATAAAATTGAATTTTCCAGTCCTATTCGGCCGAATGGTTACTTCGACATCAACTGTCAACCACGTGACATCAAACGCTCACCATTGTTTAACGCCGTTCTTTGCTTTTTGCTTACCTTTTCGTTTCGTTTTCATTTCGATGATTGCGAAAAATTGATAAGTGCGGTTGAGGAGCAGGCTCTTGGGACATGCGTGATCCACTCTATCATCGGAGAGATGTCCAGCGTAAGCTGTGGTCAAGGATAGCTTTAGAAATGGAACTTCCAATATTTTTGTTTATTTCTTTCATTCCATTTGTATGTAAACTAAGAATTTTCAAGCAGCAACAAATCTTCTACATCCATTTGGGCTGTGTCGTGAACTGACGAAAATCGGCTACAGTGGACGACGGCGTTCGGTTATATTGCCGGTCGTCCGTTAGGTCAAATAGTTCGGTTCCAATGGACTAGCAGCCAAGGCTCTAAAGTTTAAGGTTCATCACTCAACATACAAGTGCAACAAGGCATCCTATATTTTCGTTTGAACGTCTTATTTTTAGCTGGTTTGTCATGCGTGTTTTCGTATTTCGCCATATTTATTATGAGTGTGTTGGTTAAAAATTGGTCAGGGATATAAGCTGGGTGACGCAACAAAGAAACAAACGTAACAGCAATATTTCTAGTGGAGCTCTGAGGCGTGATGACCGTTTCACGTCTGTTTATTGGCTTTGTTTTGATCAGTCAGACAGGCATTTACACATCTTCAACAGTGGGTTGTTGTATGTTAAAGATTGGTCAGGGTATAAGCAGGGTGAGGTTTGAGATGTGATTTGTTCGATCGTTTCAGATCATCCGAGTCTCTTTCCGCTCTGGTTTGGTCTTTCAGACGCGTTTCGTCATTTACAAAACTTCCATGTTTGGTTTGGTTTATAAGCAGGGTGACGCAGTAACAAACCCATCAATGATCGACGAACTGCCATAACTCTTCAGTTCGCCATAATGCAATTAATATATATTGTGAGATATCAAAGTGAGCTCTGCAGGAGTGATGGAACCTGTAGTTTAGTACTTTCAGCATCAAGATCCGCTACCCTCGGCTTGGTCTGTCAGACCAAAAACTGCAGGTTACATTATCGCGTGTAACTCCTATTTCAAAATATCCATAAATTGGAAAAAAATTAAAATAACTGCGTTTGTTTTTTTATGCATAGCATAAAATTTTGTGCCCAACTTTTGTATTTAAATATTTTTATAACTTCAAAGTTCTGCCACTATAGCGAATAAACAGAATGTCAAATATTTTAATTAATTATCTTTAGTGCGTTAAATTAATAGATTTTGGTCCTTAAAAGTTGAACAGCTTGTTAGATAAAATAACAAAACAATTAACATTTAAGAGGTAGTATTATTAACCTAATTTTGAAGTGCCCTTTTGGCTGCCCTTCCACTCATACGCCCTTTATTTGTGTCAACCTTAATTTTCCTGCCAAACGAATAAACCGCATTATTAAAAAAGAGAGATATTCAACTCCGTGAAATATCGTGCTTGACTTGTGTTATGTGGTTAATTATGGTTCCTTGTTGAAACGGTGAAGTGCTTCATAATCTGAAACAGGCTTGTCGCATATGGGCATCGCTCTCCTTTCGGACGAATACATTATCTAAGTGTTCGTGTCGGTTGTTAAAATAGTTCATGTTTACATATTCAATATGCTGATTTAATGTTTTACTTTAGCCCACTGCGTTTATTCTGTTCTTCTTCGACTATCTACTGTAACAAAAATATAATTAATTCGTACATTAAATGATTTTATAAGACCTTGAACCTCAATTGAAACAGTTTACGTGAACTAGGCATTGGCAGATTGATAAGTTTCCATTTGGGAAAATAAAACTGCCAGACATACAGTACGTCTTTCTGAGTAGGTCGGATTCTTCTTCATTAAATCGATAAGGCTAAAGTACCCTTACTCCCTTGAACTACTTGGACTATTTATCACAGAAAACGACTCTCTTAGTAAAAGTGGAACGAACGTTTACGGGTCGAATAAAATTTAAATCAAAACCGGGGCTTAAGAGGGCTTAGAAAATATGATATGATAATTATTAGAATTCATATCCTGTCTTCCGTTCTATTTGTAAAGTCTTGCAACTCAGTTTTCGACAACACGGATTTAGTTGACAAAAAAGTTTTTTCCGGTCTACGGGGTGATGATCTTGTAATTTGGTCGTTGCCGATCGTTCTGTCCAGCAATATTGCTGTTACTTTAGGTTCCTTACAAAAAAAAAAATATAATTTCCAAAACAGACGTTAATAACGGTGTGGTATATTTTTTAATCAAATTTTCTCCTGGAAGAAATTTTGTGCTTCCACCAGTTTATATCCAAACCAACCATTGAACATAGACCATTGAAGTGTCCAGAAAGATTAACCATATTCCATAGCCAAACCAGTATCAGTTTGTTACTTCTTATTGTATATTCTTCATATCAATACTTACTGTTTTTTATTTTAATTTTTTCCAGAGCCCTGTTGCAGATGTCAAAAGTGTGCGTCGAAGAGGGAGAAACGAGCGTGAGGGTTGTCGCAACAAAGCCGCACCTCGTTAGCCTCGGAGGTGGACGATTGAGCACTGCCATCACCATCCACCCTTTAGAACGAGGTAAGTTTGAATTAAAAAAAAAAAGTTTGTAAAATTATACCAGATTTTAACAGATAGTATAATAATAAGGAATAAGAAGAAAATAGCTGACAAAAGATCGAAACAAGAAGCTCTGGCCCTTCTTGTATCAGAACTAGGCACACACTCAAATTCAGAAAATGGAACTAAACGAAGACAAGTCTCATACTGAAAAAATAATCCATTGTCTTTTGAATTTCCTTCTGATAATTGGTAAAACAGGCCAAAAGCGGACAAGAGATGTGTCCACTTAGTCAAGTAAAAGGCACAGGCAAATGTCCTTCGTGGCGGTGATGTTTTATCACGGTTGTGGTACTGCCACTTTGTAAAGGCAGCAAAGGACTGCAGACAGGAATTGAAGATTACATTACAATATTGGCCAGGAAGGTCATTAGACATACGTTGAAGAAAGTGGATAAAGCAGAAGCAGAGGAACAAGATATGACTGAAAACTTAGTCATTGTTGCAGTTCTTCCATTTTAGAAAGAAAATAAGATCGTTCAAAGAAATCAAGAAGTTTACACGTCCTGATTGTGATACATCAGCTCATTTACTGTCCTGACATTTTAAGCGGACCTAGAGAAGTATTCAATTATTACTTTTTTCTATTTTTCCTTAGTTTGGTCACTGTTCGGTGTGTGCGTTGGATGATTGGGAGATTTAAAGTAGTCACTTGGACTTCTGTAAATTAAAAATTTCATATAATGTAGCATGTCGGTTAATTTTATTTTTCTTACTTTGCACCTCGTGCTTTTTCACTTCAGCTTTTGACCTAGATAGCTGTACGAGGTAAACTTTTTCTACATTACAGTACACCTAGGTCTACAGCTTGTTACATAAAAAACGTGCTAATGTTTTGATTGTTTCTGACCATTTTGGTGTATTTTACAGTCGTCTTTGTAGGTTAGGTTTTTTTTATTATAAAGGAAACATCTGTTAAGACAACCCATTAAAAACATCAATATAATCTGCCCTGTAAACAAAATAAATTAGGATTTCAAAATAGTAATTTAGTTATATTCTCCCTCGGTAGTAATTCTTTTAAACAAGGATGGAATATTATCGATAGGGTTTTTGTTAAGACCTTGGAACTTTGCTATAAAATTGTTAATATGCTTCATTATCGTGTAGTGCTTAGTAATTATAGTTATTCGTGTAGTGCTTAGTTTCACTTTTCGATTTGTAGCTCTATTGTAATGTGATCAATGAATTCTTGAATCTGTGCAAAACCTGCAATTATAACGATAAGATAACTTTTTTTTAACAAACTTGTTTATAAAAGCATAATATAAATAGATAAACAAATCTTGCGCCGATATTTTATATAACGATGGTGATAAAAAAAGGCATTTTTTCAATTGTAGGAATTTGCGCAGTTAAAAAATCGTAATTCATGATTAGAAAACTATAAATAAAGAAAATTGTTTTAAAAATTAAATTGTAGGAGCAGTTATTCAAATATAATTGATAGCCGATTTGATGTTTAGCGCCTGCATCTCTCATAAATTTTATTGCAGATTTTTTTTCTACATCAAAGCATAACACAATTCCAAACTATCGTTTCTATATTAAGATATTTTATTTCTGTATTCTTTCTGCTCTTCCGTGGTCTATAGTTGTTACTTGTACTGCATTTTTATTACAGTTTTAACTCTATGTTTGCTTTAGTTTCAACGTCCAGTCCGTTGACCAGTCCGATAAATTGATAATAACCGAGAGGAGTTTGAGATAGGACTGGCATAAATATTCATCACCCTCGTTAAAACATCTCTCGACCTCCTAATTAAGAGCGCCTAGTCGTTACGACTCGGCCGTTCCACTTGTTCCTTCGTCGCAAACATCATCTCTCTGTGAGATTTTAATTTTTTGATTCATGAACGATGGGGAAATTCAGAATCGGGTCTTGCTGTAAAATACATCGAAGACAGACCAGTCTTTCAATATAAAATAACATAATTATAAGTGAGGTAGTTATCAATATGATGGCTCAAAGTGTTTGTCGAGGGCACTCTCAACACGACACGCAAGAATGGCACAATTACACGGAAGACAAACACTGAGCCCTGAAGATGATCTCAATAAAGATCGAAACGTTGGCACGATAAAGAAAATGTTTTTCTGAAACCAACATCACATCAGACCGCATCTCACGATTTCTAAATAAAAATAAAATATATACAAATCAAGTTATATTACAAGTGGGTGGAATTTTTTGCATGTCATTGTATATATACACTGGATACTATATTAAACACATAACAAACCCACAATTATTTTATAAATGGAACAAATTTCTCTATTAATGACTAGAGTTTAATACATCTTTCCTCAGGTTATGAACAGACGTATTAAGCAAATCAATATTCTCGCTTTCATTTACTTCCCATAATATTCTTAGCATCGGCTGATATATATATTTTGGATCACTATGTTTCACATGAAATAGGTCCTCAGACCTTGGTTGAAAAGTAGAAAGTAGAAACTGGATTAATGTTAACAAGTAGGAAAAATCTATTACATTATTTAACAACTTATTCAAAAAAACAGTCACACATGTCTTCTAGTGCATAATATATGCGACCTCAGTGCCCTTAGAATTGTTTCTTAGTTAAGAGGATTCCTATGTTGTGTAAATGTATAATCGGAGAAATTTATTCACAAGTTCAATCTGACCAATTCGGGAGCTTAAAAGGGACTCCAGACAGCATAGCCAAACTCTAATACGCTCCTTACAAATGAACATAAAATTTTCAATAGTCATTAAAATGTCATTAAAATCACAGGAAATCCTTAATATAAATCCCAATGGCTTTTCTTTTAATAAAGTTGATATGCTGATCAAGGACAATTTGAGGTCCAAATATATTCCTATGCCTTTTATTGCATTTGTTCTTTCTGGTGACACATCATTAATAGTATAACATACAAAATACAAGATAACTTTCTGTAAAATGATTTAGATTTACAAGATGTCTTTCATACGATGTTGTTTGCTAAGAAATACATTTTCTCCCTGTATTTGAAGATATCCCACTCTTAAAGTTGGAGTTTTTGAGTAATCACATTTATTGAGGTATCTTCATAAAGTGTTTGTGATGAAGTAGACTTTTTGGGTTCCCCAAGCTTTCGGCTATTTATATCGCCATCCTCAGGGCTTTACCCAATGATGTAAATTAAAACACTGTAGTTATTTTGATTAATGTTAATTTTAGGTAAGATAAAATTTAAAACTTAAAAAATTAGGAAAAATCCCAAAAAGAGATAGTGTGTTTTGCCGGCTGATAGGACTGTTATAGGCTTATCTTTGTATGTATATAAAACAGTTCCGTGACTGATTGACAACGCACAGACCGAACCGCTGGATCGTCAGTGCATTCCTATAACGGCATGGGTAGCTGCTAAGAAAGGATTTTTTTTTGAAATTCCATCCCTAAGGGGATCGCACGGATAATTTTTTGCCATGCATAGACCGAAGTAAATTGAAGAAGAGAAGAATTTGAAAAACGAGTATATTAGAAAGCTATACAAGTGTGTATAGCTATAACGTGTTAGAAAGGTACACGAGTCGCGGGTAAAAGCTAGTAATAATATAAATCGCCCAAAGCTTGGTGAATCCAAAAAATTCAACTTCATCACAAAAGCCTTATGAAGATACCTTAATAAATTCTAGCATTCCAGTCTTCTTTACTTGGATCGAACTACGGTAGTGAGCAAGTTCCACCAAATTTTAGTTCAGGTCGTTCCCTTGGGGCAATATCAGTCTTATTCTTAGGCATGTTTGCAATATATCGTAAAACATAAAATCCAGATAATCAACCTTGTTGCCAATTTTGCTTGCCAAGAAATACATTTTCACCCTATCTTTGTAGATATTCCCATAGGAGATACTGCGGAAGAATGCTTAAAGGAGTAAAAACGTTTCCAAGGACTTTTTAAAAGTGATTGTAAAATTGTAAATTAGCTTTGCCTCGTAAAAGTTACTCGGAAATCACTGTAACCGTGCTTAGTCACAACTATAAGATCTATTTCTCCCAACAGGCATTTACCAACGTTTATTCACTTGATAGTTTTATTCTCAGTAAACATTTCTTTGTAGTTTCTTTCCAATTTGGTTTATTCCCATTGAAAATTAATGTAGACATAATATTAATACAAAACAATTAGATTTGTATAGAATTTGTAAAGTCAACAGAAACTCTCCAAGTCAGAATGGGATTCTTTCTGACCTTTTCGAGGTCACACCGTGCATTCGCTGACCTTAGAATTGACGGGCAATCTGCTCAACCAAATGTACCACATAATCACCTAACACAATAACCGTGTAGAATATTAATGAATAATAGTTTCTTTATATTTCTCAATAAAGATTGTTGACCGATAACTAACGTTCATTTCTTGGAAACGACAATGAACTATTTAGAAATATTCGGAGAAGCAGTTTGGGTTGATTGTCGGTAGGCAGGTATAAAATAGTGAGGTTTGCAGTTCAATTGAAAATCATGGAAAACTATTACGTTATATAGAGATGTTGAGTGATATCTTGAAGTGGTTTTAACTTGGTTTGTAATGTGCTCGTATCAATTGGTCTTTTCAAAGTAGACTTTTGACAATTTTGGGTAAATTGAGAGACTTCTTGAAGTTGCGGAGTGATGTCCATTTGCAAGAAAATATCTGTACCATTTAACACGGGGTACCTTGCTGTTTTGATGTCAGACGCATTTCAGTTTTGGCCATTTCAGTGGTGGCTTTGTGTCGTGTTCTTTTTTTAAGGTCTAGTTTCTTTATTCGCTCGTAAGGCCAACTTCATTATGTCACTCTTGTCATGTAGGCTTCTGCTTAAACTTGTTTGTCGGTTAGCCGCTGTTAACCTGCAAAGACGTCGTGTCTTGTGTCACCCTGCTTATAACCCTGACCATCCGCTCAAGATGGCGAAATGTCGAAACGTATCAGATGCACCAAACCAGCGAAGAGGTAGATCTGGA